CAACGGCACCTCTTCCAGCCGTCCCCCAGAATATTCTACCATCTTTCTATCCACGCTTTCATCCCACTTCCTCACTACTTCTAGCTTTGCTCAATTCTCTGGTAAAAGAAAAACCTTTTTTATTGAACTCTTGAGATACTTGTGATCTTATAGCCTATTGCAAAACACTCCCTTTGAAAAGCTGTATTGCGCGCGATTTACAAACCACTTCATGAGACAGTCTCAGTAATTAATTGTTTGGAAAGGAATACGTACCTTCTTGGGTTCATAACGATACACTAAATCTTCAACACAACCGGTACCCGCTGTTTGTATAATTGAGGGTAAAACTGAATTACTGGCACGCTGGAATTTCAACTTCACTTTCGCACTGGAAGATCAAACAAAAAGGGGTCCTAAATCATGCCTGACTTAAGAAATTAAAAAAGGCCGGGCACCATGGCTCATGCCTATAATCTTAGCACCCAGGAAGGCCGAGGCAGGCCGAATCACTCAACCTCAGGAGTTCCAAACCAGCCTGAGCAAGAGTGAGACCCCGTCTTCTCTACTATAAATAGAAAGAAATTCCGAAATAAATTAGTTGGCAAACTAAAAATATATAGCAAAAATTAGCCAGGCCTGGTTGGGAGGCTGAAGCAGGAAGATTGCTTGAGCCCAAGAGTTTGAGGTTGCTGTGAGCTAGGCAGATGACATAGCATCTCTACACCAGGCAACAGAGTTAGTCTGTCTCAAAATTAAAAAAAAAAAAATTTAATTATAATATAAAATATATATTCACATGCTCAAGTTACTCCAAACAATTTTCTCAATAATGAAACTGAATATCCATTTTAAAATTAAAAAATTAAGTTAAAATTTAATGTTTCAGTTTCATTATGTTTCAAGTGCCCAATTGCCACGTGTACCTTCTGGAAAGGAAGAATCTACCACCTAGGTACTCCACATGTGGCTTACAACCCAGTGACCTCTTCACCTGGAAACTTCACAGAAACAAAATCTTGGGTCTCACCCTAAACCTCAAACTCAATATGCAGTTTAACAAAGCCCCCTGGCGATCCATATGCACTTTTATACATTGGACAAACACTAAGTGGAGTAGTTTTAAAGTAAGATTTTGCTACTTTAACAAGTCATTATAATAAAACTGTTCTTTATATGCACCAAATGTGGTTATTTCTGTATATCCTTGATTAACTCAACCAACACCTCAGCAAATGCTAGCATCTAAATGTGATGACTCCTAAGAAGTTGAAATGAATGCCATTACCTGTGTGTTTTTTTCTTCCATTTTGTTGCCAAGTTTGGTTGAAAGAAATTTGCAGATTTATCCTTCAAGCTCTATTTGAAATCAGTAGCGACCAGTCTGTAAATATAAAACATCTGTTTTGTAAAGAAGAGAGACACCTGGAGGAAATAGCTTCCTAGTTCAGTGGGGAAGAGAAAGAACAGGCTTTCTCCCTTCCCTTTACAAAATGTTATCATTTAACTCACAGAATTTATCCAGACATTAGTAAACAGGCTCAGAAAGCATAACTTTTCAGTATGTCAAACTCAGCTAAGTACAGTAACACCCATCCTTTCATTTCACTATTAGTTCAGTTGATACAAATCAAACAATATAAGGGTTCTGCTTATTAAATTGCTAAGACCCTCAACCTCATTCAAATTGCTTTCAGTAACTTTCACACATCATCAAAATAAAATTGCCAGGGGAAAATGTCCTTAATACTTGATAAACTGGCCAGTCACAGTGGCTCACGCCTGTAATCCTAGCACTCCGGAAGGCCAAGGCGGGAGAATTGCCGGAGCTCAGGAGTTTCAGACCAGCCTGAGCAAGAGGGAGACCCCGTCTCTACTAAAAATAGAAAAATTAGCCAGGTGTGGTGGCGCGTGCCTGTGGTCCCAGCTACTTGGGAGGCTGAATCAGGAGAATCGGTTCAGCCCAGGAGTTTGAGGTTTCTGTGAGCTACACTGACGCCACGGCACTCTTAGCCCGGGCGACAGACCCAGACTGTCACGAAAAAATAAGAAAAAAAAAAAAAAAGCAA